GATGGGACACACATTTTGGCCCATGTCCCACGAAACCAGCAGGGTCCCTATCGTAACTGGAAAAATACCCTCTCGCAAAATGTTCTTGCTGGATGCAGCTTGGATATGTACTTTTTCTATGTATGTTCTGGCTGGGAGGGTTCAGCCAATGATGCTAGAGTATTAGAAAATGCTGTGATTCATGGATTTCCAAGACATGAAAATACAGTTTATCTTGCAGATGCAGGATATGGTCTTCGTCCTGGGTTTTTAACACCATACCGTACCGTACGATATCATCTGCGGGAGCAAGCACAAGCTCATTTACATCCACGAACTAAGAAAGAGCTTTTCAACCTACGTCATGCTCAGTTACGAAATGTTATTGAACGTATCTTTGGAGTTTTACGGAAGAGGTTTCAAATTCTCAATACAGCTCCAGAGTTTGACCTTACCATACAAGCTCAACTTATATTGGTAGTTTGTGCATTACATAACTTTATTCGACACCGGGCAAATGGAGAGGAGGATCAATTTTACCAGGATGCTGATTCATCCTTGGAAAACATCAATCACTCTGGGGAATCAAATCTAAGTTATGAGGAGGAGGATGAAGGAAATATTAGAGATGCACAAGATATGGGAGAGATGAAACAAGATCAAGACAAACGTGCAACACAAATGTGGCTTGATTATATACAATACCAAAACCAGTCACAGTAGACTAACTGCTGTAGAATTCCTAGGCCTTGTAACATACTATTTGACCTCTTAACCAAAGCTCCTGATCTTCACCTTCCTCTAATGCTAAAAACACTTCTGCCTTAACTGGGTTCTCAAAAAGCTCATATCCAGTAACAATATCTTGTGTTGACCACCCTGGTCTTCCTTTATACTTTTGTTGAAGCTTTGATACAGCTTGCTGAACAACTGATTGGGACGCTGCAATAGTAATTGGTGTAGTGGCCATCCCTTCAACAGCAGTAATCAGCCGTTCAGAAACACTCCTTGGAGGTTGTCGAATATGTCCCAGCGGTGCTAGCCTTCTCCGCTTATGTTGATGAGGACTTGTACCGCGGCTGGTCTGCTCTGGATCAGCCTGAGTTACTAGATCTGACCTAAGGGGCGAAGGAATCGTGATTTGTTGTAATTTTGTATGGCCAGGATAGATTGTATGACCACCTCTTGCTTGAACTCCCTCCATGATTTCCGCCAACTCAATTGCATTTGCAAGTAGTTTGTCACGAAACTCTCGTATTCCAGGCTGTTTTTTTATTTCTTCTTCCCATACTTCATCTAGTGCAGTAACCGCACCAGTCTTAAGATCAACCCCAAAACCACTCAAATCTTTCAACCTGGTCCATATCTTCCATTTTTTCTTCAAGGTCTCCAATTTGCCTTGACATCTCTCACCTGTTACAGGAGCCCCAGGTCCAGAAATCAGAAGAACTGTCTCAGCAATCTCATCCCAAACTTCCATCTTTAGCCCATTATCAGATCGTTTTCCAGTCCTAATAGCTTGAACTAGTTCTTGCAACAACATAGATGTCATTTCAGGAGACCATTCAACTGGACGCCGGCGAGGCTTGCGGGTTTTCTGCTTGCTTCCCGTAAAGGAGGAAGGTACTTCACAGGGGTCTAAAACACGAATTTCGGATAAATTTTCTGAAAAAAATGTTAGAACTTATCATAGTAACTATATTGATATTTAACTTACCTTCAATCTTGCAGGAGTGGTTAGAACACTCAGGCTGATGCCCACTTGGTAGTATACATGCAGTATTTTGACTTGCAGTAGTATCCGAGTCTAACTGTATTGATTGAGTCTTATCACTCAAGGTTTGTGTATTCAAAGGTGAACTACTATTTTAAATTAGTAAACAATTATGATAAGTATGGTGAAAGTGGTAACACACTGGTATTGAGGAGAATGCTCGTCCATCTTGGTATCTGTGAATAAGTTGAAACCTCTTTAGAGAAGGGAGAAGTTTTCACGAATGTTAAGGTAAGATAGTTTTTTTTGTACAGGAGACTGAGAGATTTGCACATAATATAGAATTTATTTCATTAGTTTACAAGAAAAAGAAAAGAGCAGATTTATTAGGGTATGGTATTCAAAATTACTCTGCCCTATAGAGTGTTGCCAGGGATTAAAAAAAATTCTCAATTGAAGGTAACAGAAACCGTTTCGAAACAGAAGTGCTCCATTTTGCCTGTTGCAACCATTTTGAAATGGACCGTTCCCGCCAAACAGAGCCTAAAGAGGTATAAATTTTTTTAGGTGCCAGGCTGCTCCCTATGCAATTAGCGCTTTTATTAGAGCTCGAGGGCATACCGGTAGGGTGGGTAATGGCGTCTAAGAGGAAATTTGGATGGATGGGGGGACACTCTTCCTGGGCCGGCGGTGGACCTTGAGAGGTTGATTTTTGCCATTTAGTGGCTCCTTTGATCTGCCACTTACTCGCTTTATACTAGAGTAGACTGTAGGGTGCCCTTTTGCACCAGCTTACATTTGTCTAAGCTTAACACATTCGGGAAAACGGGGATGTTTGGAAGACAGCGGAGTACCGGTACTTGTACCTGTATTTAACAACACCAGTACAGTGCTGTAAAATGTAGAATAATAGGACCTCATGCTGAGACGTCTGGGGTTTCCGCCCCGTGATGAAGGAAAGGGGGATGGAACGGAAAAACCGTCTTTCTGCCCGCCAACTCCAACGCCCTAGAGTGAGGTCTTTTATTCTAGTTTACTCGAGTATGCGGGTACCGGTACTGCAGTCCGCTCGTGTCTCCGCGCCAAAAAATCCGCCACTCGATTTGGAATAGCTTCCCCAGTGACGTGGACCCACGGAAACTTTTGGAGAAGTGTTAGAGCCGTTTGATAGACATTGGCTCAAGGTATTGGTACTTGGGGAGGGTGGTGTCATTGGACAGGGGCTCCTATCATATGTTATCAATGGTACCAGTATTGGGGGCTAAAGATCATGTGCAGGGGGCATTATCAACATTGATAGCACCTCTTTTTTTTTGACCCAATGTCTCTATTTTTTAAAGCATTGAACCTATTACCGGTATTACCCCTATGCCTGAGCTTATAATAAGTTACTTTTCTCTCCCTCTAGGGTGGTGGCCTGTACTAGTACAGTACGAGTGGGGCCGATAGATATATTCGTCACGTGAGTCTGATAAGAAAGTTTCGGTGCACCTTTTGGCTGCGATTTGTCCTTGGATAAGGCACGTGACGAATATATCTATCGGCCGCACTCGTACTGTGTTCGTAAATTACACTCCTCTACGAGTAGCAAGCAGCTTCAACACCACCGGAGCCCACCATCCTCGGGTGTGCTTTTTCTAGGCCCGCAGGGGCAATTCCGAAAGGGGTACCAGTTCTTGGCGCGGACGCACGAGTACTGTATCTGTACGGATTGACCATCCGCTTCTGTGTTAATGTACCGGTAGGCCCCCATAGGCGACAGCCTACATGTCCGCCAAGCTTGAGAGACCCGATGACCCTGAAGGGGGAGTGGAATGGTCTGTTATGATACTCGAGTACTCACTATTTCCTCCCGTCGAAACCTGTACGGGTACAGCTAGTTTAATAAAGTGCCATAAGTAGGGGAGTCTGCTCGTATGAGTCCTGCGGATAGGTAGCTGTCACGCGCTTTACCAGCTAGTACGATAGCAACGGTAGTAATTGGCCGGCCCGGGCTGGCTGCTGGGAATGAGTTTTCTTTTGTAGAGTACGTGTGGATTAGATTTTTTTAATCTTGATCTTCAAAACCAAACACGTACTGTACCTAACACCGGAGTAAAACTTTACATAAACCTATCTTCTCCTTTCCGTAACTCTACAGGTTTTTATCTGGTACACAAGTGATCAAGGTTTAACGAAAATCTACATTTAAATCCGGACGCGTTCCGTAGGCCCAAGGACTGGGCTCTCAAGTTTTTGGGCCTCGTCATTTAGGTCTGGACTTAAAGTCCAAATCCCGATCGTCTAACCCGGGCGAGGGACCTAAATTACCGATACCTGTAGTGACGATCCCCCGGTAACCGTTCTGGTGACGGGGCTCCTAGGATGACGGCTGAATACGAGCTGAGGACGAGGTTGTTAACCCAGTCAGCTTCGTGGGAAGGTGAATCCCCGATACCGGGCCTAACAGAGCGGTTGCACGGTACCGTATGGTACAGTTAGTCTCAACAACTCAATAATCGATCGGATCGGATCGGGTCGGGTAATGGTTGGCTGGGTTTTGGGGAAAATGTCCCGTCCCGTCTGCCAACTCAGGTGTCAGGCAGGTCGTGATCTTTTCCCCCCCCCACCTGAGGTTACCGTTGTTGGAGAGCTGAAAGGGGATGTGCCCCGCTCGTACTCGAGTATTGTCGAAGTGTTCTTAAAAAGAGTTGCTATTGCATATCACCCAGATCCAAGGAAAGGGGTCGGACTCTGGTGTTACGCAACTCGACACCCCAAGTGTCAGTAATGTCGGTGCGTTGTTAGGGACTGCGCTTGTACAAGTATACTGCCAAAACTTAATTCCCGCTTGGATCTGGGTACCGTACCGCAGTATGCAATAGTAGCTCTTTTAATAAACGCATCGACAATACGAGTACGAGTACTAGGATATACAAAACTGCAGCTCTTAGCTAGGTAGTGATCCGCGCTTGACCTATTTGCTCCGATTGGAGTGTGAGGGTCTCATCAGCGGGTTGTTAGAAGGTTCAGCTGAGGATCTATGTGATGTGATTTGCCGTGACTTGGGGTTTCGCTCTTATTAAAGCTATGAGGAAGGTCGTGATGGCGGGTTTTGAGTTCAGTACTTTCTGGGCTTGTAGTGCGACGGGCATTGAGTACGATATGAGAGTTGACGGTATATTTTTGGGAGCGTTTGTTCCTGCGGTGTGTGCTGCCTATGCAGGTAGCAGCGGTGGGGCGAAAGGGTGTAAATGCGTAAATTCCCCCTTCCCCCCACTTCCTCTCCCGAATGAATTCGCTGCTAAAGAACATATCACTCTAGAGTCCAAACGATGCCTGCTTCCCCACCCCGACAGAATGGGAAACCTTTAATTCAACCCTGGGTGGGCAGCTAATAAAGACCATCCCCTTAGCCTCCCCATGCTTCTCTCCCTCCAACTCCTCTAACCCGGAAGTGTGCGAATACATCCGCACCAACTGGGCTCTCTCCAGCTTCCATGCGAGCGATCCCACCAGCATAACGATGCCCATGTGGGCAGGCACTGGAGAATCCACACAGGGACCCTGCGTGCCCACAGGAGCCCGCTGCGACATGGGCAACTACCCCATCTACAGCGTAAACGTGACGAGCCCGCAGCACGTAATCCACACAATCGATTTCGCCCGCAAGCGGAATCTCAGACTCGCAATTAAGAATACCGGTCACGACTTCCTGGGGCGGAACATTGGGTTCGGGGCGTTGGGAGTTTGGATGCACAATCTTCGCGGGCTGGAGTTTCATAATGACTTCATGGGGGAGGGCAGTGCGGTTACATTGATGGCAGGGATGCAGTGGGGGGAGGTGTATGATGAAGTTGCCAAGAAGGGATTTGTGGTTGTCGGTGGGGCGAATCCTGTTCGTACCCCCTCCAGATATGCATCATAGGTTATCACTGACAGTGCAAAGACTGTAGGCTCGGTTGGGGGGTACCTGCAAGGCGGCGGTCATGGATATCTGAGCTCGCGCCACGGACTAGCAGTAGACAACGTCTTGCAGTTCACAGCAATAACTGCTTCTGGCACCCTCGTGACTGCGAGTAAGCACTCGAACCCGGACCTATTCTTTGCTCTCCGAGGTGGGGGCGGCGGAACATTCGCAATTGTCCTGAGCGCAACGTTGAAGACCCATCCTACCCCCCAGACAACCCGCCATACAATCCTCATAGCATCCCCTCCATCCCCCGGGCCCCACGAAGCCTTCTGGGACGCGGTGGCCTACATCCATACCCACCTCCCACGACTCGCGGACGAGGGGATGGCAGGGTACTTTGTCGTAATACCCACAAATGGGAGTATGATATTCTCCTGGAGCTTCTACATCTACGAGCGCCCCCCCAACACCGCCACAGCACTATTCTCCCCTATAGAATCGCACATAAAAGCCACGTACCCAAGTCTACACCTCTCAACCACAGAGAAGGAATATGCGACCTGGCTGGAGGCGTACAAACCAAATATATACCCCGAACCCGTCGGCCATAACTCTCTCCTCGCATCCCGCCTCCTCCCACGCGCCTCGCTAGAAAACAGCTTCGAAAACGTCCGCTCTATGCTCGCCACTGCGTTTCCGAAAGTCGGCCATGGGGGCATTGTTGGCCAGCTGATTGCCGCGGGACAGGTCTCACGCAACAGACATCTGCGCACGTCTGTGCACCCGGCCTGGCGGAGTGCGTATTTGAATTTGGAAATCACGGTTACCTGGCCGGATGATACCCCGCTTTCCTCTGTGCTAGAGATTCGTAGGTTTAATAGTGAAGTTTCGGTAGGGGCGTTGGAGAAGTTGGCTCTCGCTGGTGGTAGTGAGGATGGGGTTGGGGCCTACGTTAATGAGGCTGATGCATATACAAAAAGGGAGGATGCTGGGAGGGTGTTTTGGGGAACGAAGTATGATGAGTTGAGGGAACTTAAGGAGCAGTGGGATCCTGAGGGTGTGTTTTGGTGTAGATTGTGTATTGGGAATGAAGGGTGGGTAGTGGAAGAGGGGAGTGGGAGATTGTGTTTGGCTTAGAATCGGGGGCTCGGTGGGCAGATGAGTGAATGAACGTTTTAGCAAAGTCGGAAGTGTGCGTGTTGCTTGCCTTGTCCGCTCGATTTAGTTTGTTCCTTCTCCCGGCAAGTATCGGACGCAACTCTAATTGGACAAAAGGGGACTTTTCATACATATATCTTCCTATAAAGTTATACCCCTGTATCCCAAGAGGTACTGAATATAGGTTGTGAAAGCACTGTACTTTAGTGACAGCAGCGTATTATATCCTAAGAAAAGACTCCTTCCAGATTACTCTTCACCCCTCCAGCTTTCCAAAACAGGCATGTTTCGAGAATCCACCGGACACAGGCTAAAGAACCCGCCAAAATTAAGGTTCATCAGGCCCTTCGGATGATTCCTACTGATTTCTAGTTCGCGGTTGAATGTTATTTCCGCTCCAGCTTTGTGCCTGTTGGGATACCGGCATTACGGACACGTTCAGTCCCTACCTCTCTAACCGGGATCTACCCGACCTACGTCATGCCACATCCGGCCTCCCGACCTTTCGATCGGTTTGCCGTTTTCGGGTACTGGTGGTGATAGTTTTAGACTATCATACCTTATTGGGCGTTGGACCACGGGACTGGCAAGTCACTGCCTCATCTCCGTTCTTGAAGGATGGAAACGACGTAACTTAATTTAATAGGGCTTATCTACTTCCTTATGTTAGTCTATTCAAGTAATCAAGCTCGCAATCATGCTTCCGGGGCCGCTTGGCCGCTTGCGGATCTACAGCGCAGCTAGCCGAAGTGAGATTAACTTAGGCTCTACCGTCCTAGCTTTCTCAAAGCCTGCAGGCTTCATGGTTGGCCCCCGGCATAGGCAGTATTTCTGTATATGCCATGCGTTCAGTAGAAGCTTCGCCAAATGAGTGGCAGATGCCGGCAGGTGTCTACGTATGCCCACGAGTGTTTTCAAATACTCGGGAATGTTCGCGAATAGGATACAGTATCTGGAGGTATCCACCAGCAGTTAAGGCCTAGGACGTGCAAAATAAAGTAATCTGAAAAACGCTGATATAGGTTTGAAGTGTTGGAAATGGGATGGCGGGGTAATTTCTCCTCTCCAGTACAGGTAGCGCAATGAATATATATTTATTTCTAAAACATATTGTTCATTCTTACCATCACAAATATTATCTTATTAGAAGGTTACTTTCTCGCATCGCAGTGATTCCAATGTGTCCAAACGCCTAGTCTGTCATTCAACACCCGGACCTGGACGTGCGGGCGGTTCCTATTGTCTCGGATTCGGGGACGCACCGGGTCACTTTAGGTGATCGGCGAAAATTGCATGGTCGGGCAGATAACGGTCTAGTCCTGTGGGCCCTGAAAACGACCTGCGGGTCCTACAAATCCCTACAGATGACAGGCGGACCTTTCAGGCCCCTACGGCCGACAGGAGGTAGAGAGGGTTGAAGGACTAAAGGCTCCTATCATACCACCACCCTGTCAGGCGCCAATATCCCGGAAGGGTGAATGCCCTTTCACTTCAGCTTAAGGCACCCTAAGTCCTAATTCGATGCACCTGGGCGAGACCAGGAGTTGGACTTTATTCCTGGACCCAGAAGGCGAAGCCCTCAAACTTGAAAGGCCAGATTTTCGATCTCAGGTTTATGATACCAAACACGCCCGGGTTTAGATGTGGACCCTCCCAAATCGCCGGCCATCTGACTATGATATTAGACAAATGTGTGAAGATAAGGAGAAGGAAAAATACCCTAGTAGTAGGTTCACGAGATTTTCTTCTTCAGGGTTAAGCATGTGTTTGGCTTTGTTTGAGGTCCAGGTTAGAAATTATAATCTAGCCTAGAAAAGAGAATCCAGACCTATTATAGCCCTGGCAAACCAAACACAACTGTCCAAAATCCAGACTTGGGCAAAAATCCGGATCCCAAATCCAAATCTGGGGGTGCCAAACGGGGCCTTGGTTACCCGTGACGCCCAGGACTGCAGCCCTGCAGACGACTCCTGGCCCCCCGGAACGCATTGTATCACTGGAAATTTTGAATTATAAAATACACTGGCCACTTCTTGTGTGTAGGGTCTGGGCATTGCGGGAGATATGAAGATATTGAATGAGAGCCGTATTTTAATATATCTTTTACCGGTAGCAACTGCACTAATCTCATTTCCTCCCCTTTTTTGAAAAGTACGGTAAAGGAAGTTACAAGGCAGTTAGTAGGTAAATCGTAGCCCAATAGTAAATGTCCACCCTCATAAACGGTTCGGACATTTTCGTATGATACCAGGACCTGTAGCATTCAGAATGGGTACTCGCTTTCCCAAATCGAAAAAGTCAAAACTATTAACCTTGTTTTTCTTCTCTTTTCTCTTCCTCCCACGAGCCCGCCAATCAAGGACCTTATTCCGGATCCGTTATCTAGAGTTAGATTCTACCACTTAGTATCACAGCAGGACTGGTTTTTCCCACAGCCCTATCGATGGAAACTGAGGCCCTCGATATTCCAGTTCCCCATAAGGCAATATTTGTTGTTTTTCTTCCCCCACATAATGGATCGTTCAATAATAGCTCATCGAGAGGGGAATTCAACTCCCACACTCCTGCTAACTGTGCAGTGTTTAATTGGTTCTTGAAGTCTAGGGACTGTACCAACTACATATCGCATCATACTAGCATGGGGGAAAACACGCACCCTACTGAGAAGTCTACTTGGAATTTTCTTGCGCGAAGCTAAGTATACAGACATTGTTACTAAGCGCGTATGAGCCGAGAAAAGGGGTGGGGTGAATGGCGATAACCAGGAAACAAGGAAAGTGAGTGACAAGAGCGGCAGGTCAGGGTAGGGGAGGGCTGAATGGAAGATAAAAACAAAGCGACAAATGGAAACCTCCGAGGTTTTAACTCCACCAATGAATATCCTCAACAGAATAAGGAAAGAGAAGAGATAGTGCAAGACCGCTGTGGTTTCACTTGGGTATGGGGGTAATTGGTGAGGAGAAGAGAGCTTTAAACCACCGAAACTTCTTATCCTTCCTGGCGTCACTCATAAGTCAAATTAAATCTGTTTTTGCCTTCGACGATATCCAACTCCTTGTCCCAGAGAGCCACTGTCCTCCCCATCGGTAAATTCCACACCGGAGTGCGGTGGGTGTAGGCTAAATCCCATTACAAGTTGTGGAAGGAAACCATGATGCTGTGGTTGATTGTGGAAGCTGTAGGAATCTAGTGGATTTCGAGAGCCAGTGATTTAAGAGATTTCCCCAGGCGCGTCTTTCCTTTGTCACCACGGGAGTGTGCAGGAGAATGGGGACTTTTGTGGAAGTCCGGAGATACGTGTGGTGGTCCACGGAAGGATCAGCATGATCTTAAATATACTCCCGTCTTTACCTCCAGTTTAAGAGAAAAGGATGAGACGAAGAAGTTTCTGACCTTCCCTTTCTGACCTCTCCCACACAAAGCCAAAGCGCAGCGCTATTATCAGTTACCCCAAGAGCTCCAACGCGGGCTCTAAACCCCCCGGGAAAATAAAGTTGATACAGAACGAAGCAGTGGCAAAAATCTTTACAAAATGACTCTGGAATGGGCATCCCGGTTGAAAATCCTGGTGATAGTTCCAAGACATGATACCAGCTCAAAGTCGAGAAACGGTTCTAATCGATACGGGGCTTGTGTACTCTCCTGATCCGAAAATCCAATATTGAGCCAGCAATTTCCAACCTTGAGGCTGTAATAACGTGAGGAAACATAATCTCTTCTAAGAGATTAGATCGCCTGAGACCTCCTGTGCGAAGTTGTGCTGTTGGCCCGGATAAGCCACGAGACCTGGTCGGTGCGGGCTCGGGGCTCGGGTTCTGGCCGCGGGGGAAGTCTAGGAGGGGTTGAGCCACCAAGCTCGTGACTATCGTTACTGAGAGTCCCATGGCGAACACATATGATATGAGTTTGTATGTGAACGTTAGGCCACTGTCCTCCTCCCCTCAGGCCCTTACCTACTCTCTAATCTGCAAGTGGTGATCATACTAACTAGTATTTCTGTTACACCATTCTCCAAGAGTTGTTGGTGCTTGATCCTTCACAGATCGTACCTATCTAGAATACAACCCCAGACTAGCATTAGGCTTCATGAAAAAAATTCTAGACATGAATCGCAGTATAGTATCACAAGACTGGATTTCACTAAAATACATCTGCGGAAATATTTCTTGGCAGATATGCTACCTGTAGGGTAGCGGTACTAGGCTGGGAGGCTCCTCCATGGCGCAGTCCTCTTGTGGAACGAAGGCTTAAGTTATGCATGCGTGCAGCGCCACACAGTACAGTACTGTGCAAGAATCACACGCAGCACAAGGCGCAACTACAGCCTTCTCCACTGTGATCATCTCGACATCCCCTTAAAAAACGATACACAACAAGAATAATGGGGGGAGAAAAATCGCGAAATCTCAGCATTGCAGCCAACAGCACCTGTTTCAATGTCCCCAATAATTTCCACATCTAACAGCATTAGCCGGCAAAATGGCCCAATAATCTAGGACGGTTATCAACCCTTGAGCTCCGAGAACTTCACCAGAGTACATGCCAATCAGTTTGATGGCGTAGGAGGTTGGCTACGAAAATACGAGTTTCGAAAGGACGTAGTGACTGCAGGTCCGGTGCGAGTGCTGTCTTGCTCCGTTATAGGAGACCAGGAGCTGGCGAGAGTTTGTATTAACGTAATACTAGTCCGCGCGAACCCTCGGGATAGCTAGCCAGCATCTAAGCCCTCTGGTAGTTGGCACTTTATGCACGAGACCGGTAACAAAAACACCCCGGCTGCACTTTCATACCCCGATGCCGCCCCCCGCAAGGGGCACTTAATGGCGAATATGCTCGATGCTCTCGTCAATTAAAACTTGGGGAGACCGGAGGCGATTCGGGGAGGAAGTAGGAAAGGTTTTGAAATAGAATAGCAACATTTCGGTGGCTGAAGCCTGTCGCCCGACACC